CTTCTCGATGGTCGTCGGCGGCAGCGCCTGCGTGGCCACGGTCGTCACGCAAGACGGTAGGACCCAACGGTGTGGGGGGAGGGGGCGCTGGTAGGCAGGAGGGGGGGGGGTAAGATAGGAAGTGAAATAGAATAAAGTAGTAAATGAAATATGTGATGGAGGGCTGGTAAAGAATAGCAACTGAATATGAATGGAATAGGATATCAAAAAGTATTATACAATAAATGACTGGAATAGCGTAATCATTAGATAAAGTAAATAATAATAATAATAACCACCCCTAAAAATATAGCCCACAAATACAACCAAAAAATCCCTCCAGCCCTTCACACACACACACACACACAAAAAAAAAAAAAAAAATCGTAACCCACCGAAATCTAACCGCTCCCCCCTCCTCCCCCCCGCAGACCCCCTGGTGACGCTGGTGCTGTACTGCGTCGGGAAGTTCGGGATCTCGTCGAGCTTCGTGGTGCTGCCCCTGATGGCCTCCGAGCTGTACCCGACGGTGGTGCGCGGGATGGGCCTCTCCGTGTCGGCCGTCGCGGGCATGATCGGCCCCATCGTCATCCCGCTCATCAACCACCTCGTAAGACGCCCGCGCGGGGGGATGGGGCGGGTATGGGGGGTGGGCATAGGGTGTATGGGGTTGGGTGGGATAGGTATAGGGGGTGGGCATAGGGGGTGGGTTGGGTGGGGTGGGTATAGGGGGTGGGGTAGGGTGGGGTGGGCATAGGGGGTAGGTATGGGGGTGGGGTATGGTGGGGTTGGCATCGGGGGTAGGGTAGGGTGGGGTGGGCATAAGGGGTGGGGTAGGGTAGGATGGGTATAGGGGATGGGTGTAGGGGGTGGGTAGGAGGTGGGTGTGGGGGTTGGGTATAGGGGGTGGGGTAGGGTGGGGTGGGGTATTTATAGGGATCATCACCATATCCTAATTCTCACCCTTATTCTCCTCCTCCTCCTCATCATCATCACTATCAAATTATCTTCATTCTGAGCGACACCCCTCTTCTGCCGCAGGGCTCAGAGATGATGGTCCTCCCGCTGATCATCATGGGCGTCCTCCTGAACCTGGGCGGCGTCTTCTCCCTGATGCTGCCGGAGACGCTGCATCAGCACCTGCCTCAGAGCCTGCAGGAAGGGGAAGAGTTCGGCAAGTACTGGACGATGGCAGACTACTGCACGTGCTGCCCCAAGAGGTGAGGGAGAGAGAGAGAGAGAGAGAGAGAGATAGATAAAGAGATAGACAGATAGATAGATAGATAGATAGATAGAGAGAGAGAGAGAGAGAGAGAGAGAGAGAGAGAGAGAGAGAGAGATGGAGAGAGAGAGATGGAGAGAGAGAGATGGAGAGAGAGAGAGAGAGAGAGAGAGAGAGAGAGAGAGAGAGAGAGAGAGAGAGAGAGAGAGAGAGAGAGAGAGAGAGAGAGAGAGAGAAAGAGAGTGAGAGAGAGATTTGATTTGATTTGATAACATTCATTTACAGAACAGTGTACATGCCCTGCAAAAAGCCAGGGTAAGATACCAAAACATCTATCCAAACTGGCTGTGCTTCTATTTGTGTAGAGGGCCATTGGTCAAACATTAGTGTTACATACATGCCTGAAGGGCTATTCTATTATCACTATATTGAAATATCATCTGACTGGTAAAAAAAACTTTTACATCACTAATCATGTCAAAGACAAGACCAGTGTCTATAATATAAAGTTAATATAATCAACAAGCGCTATTCTGTGAACAGTACTATTTGATCGATAGGATGCAGTCTTTATGCAGCAGAGTAAGTAATGAGTGAGATTATGTGACTTGGGTTCATTGCACAGTTTGCAATGGTGATATGAAACAGGTTTTGCATCGAGAGAGAGAGAGAGAGAGAGAGAGAGAGAGAGAGAGAGAGAGAGAGAGAGAGAGAGAGAGAGAGAGAGAGAGAGAGAGAGAGAGAGAGAGAGAGGAGTGGGGGAGCGGAAATAGATAGATAGATAGATAGATAGATAGATAGATAGATAGATAGATAGATAGATAGACAGATAGATAGAGAGAGAGAGCCGAGCCTGAGCTTCTTGGTAAGGCGGACAGTCGGCAACCGGACTGCCGAAGCGTCGGGCGCCCACTCAGTCCCGCGACCCGTTGCTCACCCCCTTCTCCCCGCAGGCCGAGCCGCGCGCACAGCGCAGGGAGCAAGGTGCCCCCCTCCGGCAATGCGTTCGGAGACAGCGGAAGGTCATCCCAGGGGGCCGAGGAGCTGCACGCCGCCACCACCCTCCTGCCTCAACGCCACCAGCAGGATGGGCGGCACGAGAATTCGACGAAGGCGAGCACTCTCGGCAGGAACGGCGTGCCTCCCGGGGACAGTGAGGAGCGGCCGCAGTCGAGGATGTCTCTGGACGACTCCTGCAGGAGGCGTCAGGGAGGGGCGTCTGCCGGCGACGAGGGCGAGGAGGGCGCGGGGGAGAAGCAGACGCTCGTGACCGGCAGTAGAAAGGTCACCGTCGTCTAGTCCTCTTTCACCATTCACACTCGCACTCAGCGAAGCAAGAGTTTATGAAAAAAGAAGAAAAGGGGAAAATAGGTTTACAGCTTAAAACGGAATGTAATAAGATTAATTATCATCATTACCTCTCGACATCAACTGAATAGTCATCAGTCCTCTCGCTGCAAGGCGGCGGTAGATATTGAGCCGTCGTGGGTCGAAGGGAGAGGAGTAAGCGGGGCCGAGCGAGAGGGGGCGGAAACAAAACGCGATAAGGGTTACGAGAGAAAAGATTTGTGTATATAAATGTCAGTTGAAAGTATACAAAACGAATTTAAAAGAACACACACACACACACACACACACACACACACACACACACACACACACACACACACACACACACACACACACACACACACACACACACACACACACAGAAACCCCCTCTTCTCACAAAACCCCCACCCCTCACGCTACCCCACCCCCACACGCTACACCACCCCCCCACGCAGCCCTCATCCCCACGCACAAACACAAGCACACAAACCTTTTCGTATCAGTAGGTACATTTGCATCTATGTGTACGTATGTATGGATGTATAAATTGACCTCATGCATTCTAGTCCTCTGTACCAAAGTGGGAGACATGAACACCGTCATTGTTCTTGCAGTCTGTACGCTATGGCTTACTTTCTCTTCTGTACGTATATACTCGAAACGAGACGCTGGTAATTATCGGTCAGTAGGGAGAGAGAGAGAGAGAGAGAGAGAGAGAGAGAGAGAGAGAGAGAGAGAGAGAGAGAGAGAGAGAGAGAGAGAGAGAGAGAGAGAGAGAGAGAGAGAGAGAGAGAGAAAGAGAGAGAGAGAGGGAGGTGGAAAGGCAGTGAGAGAGAGAGAGAGAGAGAGAGAGAGAGAGAGAGAGAGAGAGAGAGAGAGAGAGAGAGAGAGAGAGAGAGAGAGTGGGGGGGGAGAGAACTGAGAGCAAAACAAATCGATGGATAAAGTAAGAGGGATGTTAACACAAATTAAAAAGATGGACTAATAAGGACTTGCTGAGGTATGAAAGAGGTGCTATTAAATGATAAGATAACTCGCTACAATGAATATTAATAATGTGAAGGAAACTGCCGTCAACGATGAAAACAGTACAGATTCCCTTGTAGGGTATGTTTTCTTTTTTTCTTTAAGCATTTTTTAAAAAGGCAATTCCCATCATTGTTCACTTTAGAATGAAACGGAGGGAATATAATGTCGCATGTGGTATGGAACAACGACCGGAATTTGGTATATTTGGTATATTTTGCGTTTCCCCCAAAGAGAAAGGGTTCATATTCTTTCTCTCTTTCTATATCTTTCCCGTTCCGGTAAGCGATTCCTGTTCCAGATAACTGGGTGTAATGTAGGTCCTCCACAGAACTAATACAGTTCGAATTGTGATGAAAAGTTTATAATATTCCCTACTTGTCTTCCAGAAAAGAAGAAACAATAAAAAAGGAAAAGAAAAGTAAACAAACAAACACACAAAAAAATGAAGGGGCGTCTCATTTATAAGCTTTTCATTTTCTAAAGCACTGTCAAGGCAGTTACGATGTATAAAGTTCAGCATAGAACGGTATGTCTGTCATTATGTACGATAGCATTATTATATTGCGATTTAAGAATAAGATAAGAGGATAGAAAAACTATTAGCCAGAAAAAAGCGAAAAAAAGTGAAACGAAGTATGACTACTGGCACATCAGAATAATTTGAACCACAACAAGAAAAAAGACGCTGTTCTACTTCTACCTTTTTTATTTTTTCATATTTCTTCGGGGACTCTGAGCGAAGTAAACCGTGACCTATTTTTGTAACTGTCTTTGCAATATGTTTCTATACATAATGTATATAATTACCTTCTCTTAAACATATGTACGTTAAGAGATTAAGTATGTATTTATATAAGTATGATTTGCTACAGTTAACATGTTTTACCGTAAGTATTAGGCCGTGAACTACGATGAAGTGTAATGTTCTGAAATATGGTACTGTATTGATGTCTGGTAGATTTAGATGGAACCCTCGATCATGACACCAGATTAATTATGTGTAGGTAATGACAGTTCTTGTTCTTCCTTGTAATTGATTGCTGGATTCAGCTCAACAAACATATGTTAATGTGTTGTTATACTTGATAGATTTTCCTTGCCTTTGGAATCTCTGTTTATCTATACTCACCTTTAAATGGTATCCTTTATCTACATAAGAGACGAAATACTAAAAAGACACTCATTTTGTTATCCATGTCTCAGCACCCTTTTTACTGTACTTTTTTTCCATCATATCCCTTATCCTTTTCATGTATGTTCATCTATCTGTCTGTATCCTTTTCCTATACTAATACCTCCATGTATCTGTATCCTTTTCCCATACTAATACCTCCATGTATCTGTACCCTTTTCCGGTATCTTTGCTTCTGTGTCTCTGTAACCTTCTCCTGTATCTCTGTGTTTCCTTTAGGTAATCATATCATTTCACACCTATTCTATAAGTCTTAGGAAAATGGATGATGGATATAAACCTGGTGTTCGGCAAGTAAACAACCATCTTTCTGGTCGTATTTCTTCAGTCGTTCATCCCGTTTTCTTCTTCATCTCTCTTTCGTTCTTTGGGGATGAGAGAAGAGGAGGGAGGGGATGCGCAGGAGGAAAAAGAGCCGATTATATAAAGAGTGTATGTCGGTTGTTGATAAACAATTTGAATGTCCTTAGTCTCTGTGTTTTTTTTTATCCCTTTGGAAATGAGGTTTTTAGACTAATTGGAATGAGATGCGACTTTAATCTCTGAATTCAATATATTTGGAAAAAAAAAGAAATATATTACTTAATCATAACAAATTATGTAATATAAAATATGAAACTGACACACAATAATCAAATGTAAATGATCAAAGGCCCAATTTTCATTCTTTACATATAATACTAAAACATTTATGTATGTTGCCAAATGCACCAGCAATATATGAAAAAAAAACCATGTCAGTATTCCAGGCCGGGTTGGAACGGTGAAGCAAGAGTTTTAGCCGCAGTGACATACTTCTTGATTGCTGAAGCCGCTGCAGAGGTTGTGTCTACAAAAGAAATATAATAGAATAAATAGCTGTTATTCTTTTTTATGCTCTACATGTTTCTTTTACGTCAAAACAAATATATTTAAGAGATATGTACACTTAATTTTCCTTGGCTCGACTTACTTGTGGGTGATTTGAGTAGAGGCAAGACCTTCTTGCCCAAGGAAGAAATAGCAGTCTTAACTTTGGCTACCGTCTGGGCAGGGGACGGCAATAGCGAGGTTACTCCTGAAATTCACGATTGAAGAAAATGCAGACAGGTAACTTTTGTGTGTGATCGAGTTTCATATTTCCATTTAGCATGAATGTCTGTCATTACCATATGATAAAAAATATGTTTTCATTGTTATGTAAGACTGTTACATGAACTAAGCTTAGGAGAATTTATTTACCATGAACGTAATCCTGAAATCTTAGAGTATTTTCTTTAAAATTATCTGAGAACTACAGTTGCTACACTACAAGCATGTGTAATTTACCTGGAACCGTGAAACTACCATAGCCACTTGCCGGGTTCGAGCTGCCCAAACCACCCGGAGGCATGTAACTACTGCCATAACCGCTCGGGGACGCGTAGCTACCATACCCCCCAAATGGAGGCATGGTAGACGCGACAACGAATAACGAAGCGAGACACAGCAAAGCGGTGGTTCTCATTTTGACGTGCGGGGCTTTGTTGAAATTGCAAAATTATTAAATGTTCGTGTTGCCTTTTGCCCCTAACTAGATATTTCTATTGGATGTTTAATACCTGAAATGAAAGAATGGTTATGAGAAGATTAGGGACATATCTTTCAGTTTGACTCTCTGTATGCACACACACACACACACATACACACACACACACACACACACACACACACACACACACACACACACACAAACACACACACACACACACACACACACACACACACACACACACACACACACACACACACACACACACACACACACACACACTCACACTCATACTGATGCTCATACTCACAATCACACTCACACACACACCCTCATACACCCATATGTTTATATATATATATATATATATATATATATATATATATATATATATATAGATATATATATATATACACACACATACATATATATTTAGAGATAGATAGACACATGTTTATACATATATATACATATATATACATATACGTATATATATATATGTATATATATATATATATATATATATATATATATATATATATATATATATATATATGTATATATGTATATATGTATTATATAAGTATATGTTTATATATGCATATTTTTTGTGTATTTGTAAATGTACGTATATATATATATATATATATAAATATATATATATATATATATATATATATATATATATATATATATATATATATATATATATATATATACATATACATATATACGCACACACATATATATATATATATATATATATATATATATATATATATATATATACATATATATATATATGTATATATGTATATGTTTATATGTATATGATTATATAAGTATATGTTTATATATGTATATTTTTGTGTATTTGTAAATGTACGTATATATATATATATATATATATATATATATATATATATATATATATATATATGTATATATATATATATATATATATATATATATATATATATATATATATATGTATATATATATATATATATATATATATATATATATATATATATATGTATATATACATATATATGTAGCTATATATGTATGTATATATATGTATATATATGTATACACACACACACACACACACAAACATAAATATATATATATATATATATATATATATATATATATATATATATATATATATTTATATCTATCCATCTATCTGTCTACACACACACACACACACACACACACACACACAGACAC